CCTTGAACTCACAGAGATCTGTCTGCCCCTGCCTCCCAAGTGCTAAGATTAAAGACATTCAACACCATGCCAGGCCAGGTGACACACTTTGTTTTGTTTTGTTTTGTTTTTTGAGACAGGGCTTCTCTGTGTAGCAGCTTTGGCTGTCCTGGAACTCCCTCTGTAGACCACTCTGGCCTTAAACTCACAGAGATCTGCCTGCCTCTTCCTTGCCAGTGCTGGGACTAAAGGCATGTGCTACCACTGCCCAGCTTCAGGTGGCACATTTTAATCCTAGTACTTGAGAGGTGGAAGCAGGCAGATGTCTGTGAGTTTAAGGCCATCCTGGTCTACATAGTGAGGCCCTGTGACCAAAAAAAAGAAAGGAAGGGAGAAAGGACAAAAGAAAGTCATTAGTTTTGAAGTATGTATGGAAGGAGGGTAGTTTCCATGAGCATCCAGAGTGAGCAGGGCTAAATATTCTCCATGACCAGAGGGTATCTGCCTCCAGGAATTCATTTTCTCTGAGGGAGGCCCAGTGTTGCTGTCCAGGGCACCCACAGAACTGGGATGGTTCCCATCTGCTCCTCCCATTGTTGAGGAAGCTCCTCCTAGCAGCCTTGTCCTAATCAGAGCTCATTCTTGTAGCTCTGACAACTTGCAAGTTGGGGAAGTGGCCGCCAAAGGATATGACTACACAGAGGAAGCCTGTAGACTTGATAATTTCTCTTCTGTTCCCCATCCACATCATTACTGGTATGGCCCTCTGCCTTGAAGCTACATGGCAAGCCTTGGTACCAGTGCCTTTTCTTCTAGCTGGATGGCCTTGATAAAGTTCCTTAATATCTCGGGGATTACACTCCAGTGGCTCTCTAGGACAGTAATGGCACTCACCACAACGTGGCTTAGAGAGTTAGTGTATAAGGAACCCCCCTGGCAGGCTAGAGCCTCTGATCCTGTGGTTGCTAGGATGCTGGTTGTTATTCCCAGCTTTCTCTTGGGTGGTTGTTGCTGGCCCCACCCTTCCCTTCAGCCTCTGTTCTCCTCACATCTGGATTTGGGTGGGTACATCTGGCTCAGAGTGAGACAGCTGTCAGGGACGCCCAATTTGCTGTGGAAACACCCAAGCCGTCTTGGAGCTCTAGTGAGATGGAGTGAGGGTGGGGGCTCTGGGCAGATTTCACCAATCATCCCAACTTACCCTTACAGCATAAATCAGTGATGGGATTCCAAGACTTAGGGTGCATTTTCTTCCGACAGCTCCTCTAGGATTAGCTGGAATCTACCACGAGAGTCATTCCTTTGTTTCCTGTTGGCTACAGGTGCTAGCTATGGAGGCTAGGGATGTCCAGCCTCCATGGTTCAGCATGACTGGCCTAGGGTGTCCGGCCTTGGGGTGGAGTTTCCTGAGCAAGGGCCTGTGCTGGGATGGTGTCACTTAGGACTGTGCCCTGCCTGCATCCTGCTGCCTTCTTCCTGCCCTTCCTGATTACCCTTAGCCTACCCAGGATGGAGACTGAGGCAGAGGAAATGGGGGTTGTTTCTTTTGCTCAGGTGTGGGCTGGCCTAGAGGTGGCTTAGTGTTGGAAAATAGGCTCCTCTGACTTCAACTCTGGCCCTGCCCCTGGCTGTGATCTGAGTTTGGATAAGTTTCCTTGCCTTTTGTACTGGATTCTGCACTTGGAGTCCAATGAGCTTGTAGGGGATCAGTCAGGCCCTCCACACCCCCCCCACCAAGGGACTGAAGGGTTACTTGCTCCACTCCTGCATGATGCCCATTCACAGTGTGCTTTTCCACCTTAAAAATAGTTCTGCTTTTCTTCCCTGGCTACAGAAACAATTAAGAAACTGATGGCTGAGTTTTTTTTTTTTTTTTTTTTTTTTTTTATTTTCATTTACTTGTGTTTTTAGACAGCACCTCAAAAAAAGAAAACTGCATTTATATAAAAATGAACAAGTGCTCACTGTAACAGCACATTTACTAAATCAGAACAATACAGAGTTGGTTAGTGTGGTCCCTGTGCAAGGGTGACACTCAAATTTGTGAAGTATCCATTATTATTATTATTTGTTCTTTGAGACAGGGTTCTTTGTGTATACCTGGCCATCCTGGAATTTTCTCTGTAGACCAACTCAGAGACCCCCATCCGCCTGCCTCTGCCTCCCTAGTGCAGGGGTTAAGTCGTGTGCCGCCACCGCCCTGCGCTCACTCTCTCTTTTCCCAAGATTTCTTATTTTATGTGTAAGTGTTTTGCCTATATATGTTTGTGTGTTCCTTTATGCATGATACCTGCAGAAGCCAGAAGAGAGCAGCAGTTCCCATGGTTACTTATGGTTGTGAGCTGCCATGTGGGTGCCGGGAACTGAACTCAAGTTTCCTGGAAGAACAGTAAATGTTCTTAACCACCAAGTCATTTCTTCAGTGTCCTCCACCGTATTTTTATTTTTTTAAGAATCTGGGAATTGACCTTTAGTTCCAGCACTCAGAAGACAGATACAGACAGTTTCAGTCAGGCAAGGTGAGACTCAGTCCCCCTCAAAAATGTCTAAACAAGAGAGAGGTCAGCCTGAAATTATACCATCGCCAGCATTTAGGCCAATACCCCTTCACACACATGTATATTACAGATCACCTGCTGGGAACACCTTTCCTTCCAAAGCAGTGACCATACACCACCTCCCTTTCAACTGTTATAACAACCTTCCTGATGCTTTCTCATTTCTCATGTTAAGACAGGATCCTATACAGGCTGGCATATATGGAGTATGGATGTCAGGAGCATTGATTGGTCAATGCTTTTAATAAATGACACCCTCTTGGGCCTGGAGAGATGGCTCAGTAATTAAAACACTTGTTGCTATGCAGAGGTTGGGTTCCCAGCACCCACAAGGTGACTCACAACCAACTGTAACTCTAATTCTAGGGCATTTGATGCTCTCCTCTGACCTCTATGTATACGAGCCATGTATATTGGCGCACTCATATGCTTGCAGTCAAAGTACTCATATACATAAATGAAGCTAAAAAAAATTATTGGCATCCTTTTGACCACTTTTCCACATTTTGCTTGCCTCTCTCGTAGTGTCTTGCAGAAATCCAAACTGTTCTTGATCCTTTCCATTTGTTTCAGTTTGTTTCTCGTGCTAGGTAGGTATGTACTCTGCCAGGAACTACATGGCAGCCCCGAAAGTTTTAATATTCAAATGGGGATCATAGGAGGTTTGTGGTAACATGTTGGCAAAGCTCTCAGAAGAATGCCAATCCCAAAAATGTATTGTATATCCTGCTCCATCTCTCTCGAAGCTGGGGCTGGGAGGAGGGGCAGGGGGCAACGAGAAGTGTCAGACAAATACACAAGACTTAGCCTCTGCTCCTCATCAGACAGATACACTGGACTCAGCCTCTGCACCTGACCTGAGGGAGGAGGAAAGGGAGACCTCCAATGGGAGATGATGGATCCAGTATGAGGCATTGACATTCAGCATTGTTGACTGTGTTCCCACCACTGTACCAGGCCTGGGTCCTCCGTTGAGTAGGGAGTTGATACCTATGGTGAGACTAACATACAACGAGGCACTTTCCGTGTGGCAGAACATAGCTGATGGAGGTCAGGAATAAGAGTGAATACCTGGGCATGAGCAATGAGCAGAGCCAGGAGTTTGTAGGTGTCTAAGGACTTACTGTTAAGATTCTGGGTCTCTGTTTCCCTCTCAAGAGACTTGGGGAGGGGTGTTGTCTCTTACAATTTTAATTCCAGCACTTGAAAGAAAGATAGGTTGATCTCTTTTTAGTTTCAGATCAGCCTAGTCTACATAATGAACTCTAGGTCAACTAGAGCAATATAGTGAAGCTATTTAAAAACAAAAAACAAAGGGGTGTGGGTGGCCCACATCTTCAATCCCAGCTCTGAGTTCAAGGCCAGCCTGGTGTACAGTAAGCTCCAGGATAGCTAGTGCTACACAGGGAAGCCTTGTCTCGAAAAACAAAAAAACAACAAAAAGACAGAGCCTCATTACATAGACCAGGCTGGCCTCAAAGTCAGAGATCTGTCTCTGCCTTCCTTGTGCTACAATTAAAGGTGTGATCCACCAAGCTCCACGTGAGAGTTGACTTTTTAAAAGTCATTATTACTATTATTGTGCTTTTATGAGTGTGGGCACATGCCACTGCCTGCATGAGGTGGTCAGAGAACAACTTTCAGAATGCAGTTCTCTCCCACCGTGGCCTCTGCACATCAAACTCAGGTCTATAGGCTTCTACAGCAAGTGTTTTACCCATTGCGCCATCTCACTGCCCCCTTTCTCTATTTTTTTCCACTTTTTTTTTTTTTTTTTTTTTCAAGGCAGGGTTTCCTTGGACAGCCTGGCTGTCCTGGAACTAGCTCTGTAGATCAGGCTGTCCTCGAATTCTCAGAGGCCAACCTCTACCTCCTGAGTGCTGGGATTAAAGGTATATGCCACCACCACTACCAGCTATTTTTCTTTCTTTTTGTTTTGTTTTTTCAAGACAGGGTTTCTCTGTATTGCTTTGGAGCCTGTCCTGGAACTAGCTCTGTAGACCAGGCAGGCCTTTAACTCCCAGATATCCGCCTGCCTCTGCCTTCTGAGTGCTGGGATTAAAAGCGTGCACCACCAATGCCAGGCTTTTCTCCATTTTTTAAAGACAGGGTCTTAAGTATCTGAGGCTGGTTTCAGTCAAAACTTGGTATGTAGCCAAGGATAACCTTGAATTCCTGATCTTTTCTACCTTTCAGGTGCTGAGAATACTAGCTTTACACATGCATGCATGTGTTTATAGAATGCTGGGGACTGAACTAGGGCTTCCTACATGCTAGGCAATCACTATAACTGAGCTACATCCCCAACTCTTTTTTGTTTGTTTTGAGGCAGGGTCTCATGAGCCTAGGCTGGCCTTCAACTCTTGATCCTTCATCTTTGTCTCCTGAATGTTGGAATTATTGACATGCACTTCACCTCAACTTAACCATTGCTTTTTGTCTGTGTCTTTCTGTCCCTGATTTATGTGTTCTTTCATTTCAGGTTCTCAACCCTGGACTAAGAAAAGAATCGTGGAACAGAGGAAAACACATCACTGCTGACAAGACCTCACCTTTCTGCCTTCCATTCTCCAAAAGGCTTTCTTCCTTTTGGGAAGAAAGTGAGGTGTATCCACATACCCTGTCTTCGTTGGCCTTTAATCTAACTTTTCTAATTCCTTGGGACAACTTTGACCACTAATCTTTAGTTTTTGTGTGGACATCTGACTACCACCCTCTGGAGCCAGTGTTTAGGGCTGAGGGTGCTGAGAGGGTACTGAGGACTGAGCAGCCAGGGCTGTGTGCTGAAGTCACCATGTCCACCAAGGTCCCCATTTATCTGAAACGTGGCAGCCGCAAAGGCAAGAAAGAGAAGCTCCGGGACCTGCTGTCCTCAGACATGATTAGCCCACCACTTGGGGACTTCCGTCACACTATTCACATTGGCAGTGGTGGTGGTGATGACATGTTTGGGGACATCTCCTTCCTGCAGGGCAAGTTCCACCTCCTTCCAGGAACAGCAGTGGAGGCCGAGGAGGATGGCAGCTTTGACCTTCCCTTCCAGTTCACCCGCACTGCCACAGTATGCACGCGCGAGCTCCCTGCTGGGCTTTCACCTCTGCTCAAAAATGCCATCTCCCTTCCTGTCATTGGTGGTCCCCAGGCCCTCACCCTGCCCACAGCCCAGGCTCCCCCTAAACCCCCTCGTTTGCACCTGGAGTCACCACAGCCTTCTCCAAAGTCCTCCACGCAGGAGGCAGGAAATGTGGACATCTGGAGGATTCCAGAGGCCAGCTCGTCACACAATGGGATGAGCCCAGAGCCAGAGGCTGAGGAGCCTTTCCTGTCCCATGCCAGCTCCCTGCTGTCTCTGCACGTGGACCTGGGGCCTTCTATCCTGGATGATGTCCTCCAGATCATGGATCAGGACCTAGGCCATGTACAGATCCCCACATAGGACTCTTGGCTGACCAGACAGGTCACCCAAGCTATGGTGATGCCTGGAGATATCTATGGACATGGCCCTGATACAGGAGTCAGGAGCCCAGGTCCCACCTATGGGTGCTGGCCAGTGACTGTCATTTTGAGCCTTCACTTCCCTCCTCCCAATGGACAGTGTGCATCTTTGCTTTCCTTTAACACTCCCAGAAGACCCATGCAAAAGTTGCCCCAGACACTCATGAGCCTCTTAGGTCATTTGGACTCTCACTTCCAATTGTCTCCTTTCCCTCAAGTCCTATTCAAGGGAGACTCTGTCAAAATGAATTCCACCCCCTTTCCAATTACCTTCCACTTCAGCATCATTTGATACCCTTCCCAGCTGTCTCTGTGTCCTGGTCTGGGGGCATGTTGTCTATAACCAGACATGTTATACCTTGTGTCCTATCCGATCCCTTTTTCACATGACCAGGGAATTCTGGTTGCAATAAAACATGCTGCTGCTGGTGGCTCAGCATCCTGTGCCCTTGTTCAAGGTTTCCTTCCAAAAGTGGGTAATCCCAGCACTCGGGAGGCAGAGGCAGGCAGATCTCAGTGAGCTTGAGGCCAGCCTGGTCTACAGATTGAGTTCCAGGACAGGCTACAAAGCAATGCAGAGAAACCCTGTCTCAAAAAAAAAGTAAGCTATTCCATGAGCAGTAGGCTTATATGAGCAAAGCCACACCCTAGAAGATTCCAGAGTCTGGGCCTTCCCTTCAGGAGGTTGTCTTAAGTCTGCACCCACAATGAAAATGAAACAAGAATAATCTGCATTGGATACTTTGTTGCTAAGACAAAATACCTGATCAAAACAGCTTCAGAGAAGTTTTATCTTGGTTCACAGTTCCCAGGTACAGTACAGCCCATCACAAAGAGAAATATGAGAGCAGGAGCTGGAAACAGCTGATCATGCTGTGTCCATAGTCAAGAAGTGAAAAGCACTTTCTTTTATTCAATCTGGGACCCCAGCACATTGGATGGGCCACCCACAGTGAGGGTTTTTTCATTGCCATTAACTAGCTCTAGAAATTCCTTCATAGACCCCCCCCTCCAGACTCTAATTTTATCAAGTTGATCACCAAGATTAACTACCACACTGACCAAGTGTCCATGGTGGCTACTGGACACTGACTTAGGTATCTTGCAGGGAGGGGCTGGAAGGGCTGGATATATGGTTCACTAGATAAGAATGTTGGCTGTTCTTACAGAGGACCTGGGTTCAGTTTATATGGTACTGTGGATTGAACCCATGACTTCTTGCATACTAGGTTAACACTCTACCAACTGAGCTACATCTTTGCCTTTCAAGTAATGCTATAATATAGTTTCTATATTGCAAAAGATTGAGATTAACTAGTAAAGAGAATGGACACAGGAATGAACATAAATTCTGTACTTGGGAGTAGATGTGATAATAAGACTTTGCATTTTCTAACAAAAAGAGATGCTATGTATAACTGGCCCTTTGTATCCATGGGTTCTACATTCATGAATTCAGCCAATCATGAGTATAATATACTTTTTAAAAATTGCAGGAGAATAGAAAGATGGCTTAGAGGTTAAGAACTGGCTGCTCTTCCAGAGGGTTTAATTCCCAAAACTCACAGCACAGCTCACAGGTATCTGTAACTTCAGTTCCTGGAGATCTGATGCCCTCTTCTGGCCTCACCCTGGCACCAAGTACACATGTGCACAGACATACTTACAAACAAAACATAGTTTAAAAGTTAAAAGAAAATTATACCTGAGGGCTGGAGATATCTCAGTAGTTTAGATTATTTGCTGCTCTTCCAGAGAACACATATGGAACACATTTATGCACATACACACAAATCTTTTTTAGTTTGTTTTTTGAGACAGGGTTTTCTGTGTAGTTTTAGAACCTGTCCTGGAACTCACTCTGTGAGCCAGGCTGGCCTTGAACTCACAGAGACCTGCCTACCTCTGTCACCTGAGTATTAAAGAATGTGCCACAATGTCCAGCTTGAGATTCTGTCTCAAAAACCAAAACAAAAAATACAAATAAAAAAAGACAGTGTATCACAGGGACACTTGACATTGTTGGTTGTTCAATAATGCCTCTTTCTACTTTAAGACTTCCTTTGATTATGGTATCTGAGGGATATGGGACCTATACCAGCTAAAGAGGGAAGGGCCTTACTTCTACCCCTAGCTCTAGCTACCTCAATGTAAGGAGGTGCCTTAGCTTAATTAGTACAAAGCCTCGGGTCACCACTCTCACATGGCAGCCCCACTTGTGGCTGGTATATGACACAGGGGTCCAAAATCCCAACACAATAATGTCCTCTTCAGTGGCTCCTCTAGCCTTAGCTGGGTGAATAAGGATAAGGATGTTAAGAATGGTTGCCTTTCTTGCTGTCCCCGACACCAACAGACAGAGGCTACCTCAGCTCTGAAGCTGCAGGTGAGAGAGTATAACAGCCCTTAGCTCTTTGCACTCTGCACCTGGTTTTGTATGACAATTTGACAACTGAGGAAGCCTCAGTTGAGAAAATGCCTCCATGAGATCCAGCTGTAAGGCTTTTGTCAATTGGTGATTCATAGGGGGGGCTTAGGCATAGTGGGTGGTGTCATCCCTGGGCTGCTGGTCCTGGGTTCTATAAAAAGGCAGGCTGAGCAAGACACAGGAAGCAAGCCAGTAAGCAGCACCCTCCATGGCCTCTGCATCAGTCCCTGCCTCCAGGACCCTGCCCTGTTTGAATTCCTGTCCTAATTTCTCTTGACAATATAGAAGTGTAAACCAAATAAACCCTTTCCTCTCCTCCCCAATTTGCTTTTTTGGTCATGGTATTTCATCACAGCAATAGAAACCTTAAGTAAAGCTGGGCAGTTGTGGCTCACGCCTTTAATCCCAGCACTGAGGAGGCAGAGACAGGCAGATCTCTATGAACTCAAGGTCAACTGGTCTACAGAGCAAGTTCCAGTTACACAGTGAAACCATGTCTTGAAACTACCCCCAACCCCCCAAAAAGAAACCCTAACTAAGACAAAGGAAGAGGCAATTGCAAGCGTAGTAGGACAGGGAGGCAACAGTCCATGGGCCATACGGTATGGTAGACTAAATGAGAACAGAGAGTAAATCTCTATTGAAACAAAGGTCATAGTGACTTTGGTAGGAGCTGTTTCAAAAGGTCTGGTAGTAACAAAACACTCAGTACGAAAAGAGCTTTAGAAACAAGACAGAATAGGAATGAAAAGTCTGTTTTGAAAGAGTGAGAGAGAAATGGGGTGAAAATGGAATGCAGATGAGCTTGAGGAAGTCTTTTTGGGGGGGACACGCTTGATTATAGGTTTAGGTAACTTGATACTGAAGGAGAAATAAACGGAATAGAAGTGAGAGGAACAATCACACCAATAAAAATTTTCAATACGGTGAATGAGCTTAGGAATAGCAAAGGGCTAGTGGGATGTCTCAGCGGCTAAGGGCACTTGCCACCAAGTCTGACAACCTTGACTACTATCCCCCAAACCCACAAAGTGGAAGGAAACAACAGACAACTGCAAATTGCTGTCTGGCCCCCACACATGTGCCATGGCACACGTACGCACACAGAGTCATACACACCAAAGGAAAGCATTAAAACAATGTTTTTTTTTTAAACAGCTCTCAGGAGAGAAGAGGTAGGTAGGTACCAGTGAAGTTCAAAGACTAGGATTACTGACAGGAAAGTGTGGTAACTGTCAGAACGCGAGAGTAAGGCCAAAGAACATCCTTTTGTGGGAGTTTATTTTTAAAACCGATCCATGTTTGGGAACAAAGAGGTACCTAGAGACTTTTCACTGCCCAACTGTCCCTCCCTGTGAGTCAACCATGTGGCTAACAGTCATCACCTGTCTACGTAGCCTTTTCACCTACCCTTCTTACTTTTCAGCCACGGCCGACCTCCTTTCTGAGGCTCCGCTAAATGGAGGAGGCACAGCTTCTAGGAGAAGCAGAACGCGAGTCCGTCTCTTCAGTTGCGCCTGCGCACTAGGCTCCCTCACGCTCGGTTCCCAGCTCTTGAGGGGGTGGGCCAGTGCATGCGCGCACCCTCGGTTGCGCCTGCGCAGAGGGTTGAGGGCCGAGTGCCCAGAGTAGGCTTAGCGCCTGCGCACTGCAGGCTTCGGGGCCTCCAGGCCTGAGGGAGAGGAGCAGGGAAGATGGCGGCTGTGGTGGAGAATGTAGTGAAGCTGTGAGTGGCCTTTTATTTTTTTTCTCCCTCCTGGACCAGAGGTCTTGTAAAGGGGCCTGGGACTAGAGAGGGGGGTGCAGGAAGAGACAAGACAGAGAGAGGACATGCCCGGGAAGTCCTTGCTGAGCGACTCCTGGTAGGGAGGGCAACGGCAGACTCCAGAGAAGACGCCGGGCTTCTTTTGGAAACTTGTAGAGGCCGGGAGGGGGGCACACGGGAGCCCCCGACGGGCGCTCTCCTCGCGGGCCGAGTCCCGAGCGGAGCTACGGGCTGTGATCGAGAGGCGCACGGTTCCCGGCCCCTCTCCGGAGACGCGTCAGTTTTGCGGAGCCGACGGAGGCCGGGTGGCCCCTGGAGGTCGCGGTCCCTTCCCCGCCCACCGCCCTCTGAGGCTACCGGCTCCTCGGTTCCTGCTGGGATCCTAAGACTTAAGCAGTCCGGTGACATTAACTAGAAAATCCGGGGTACCGGAGACTAAAAGTATTATTGGGAAGAATTGGTCCAAGAGTACATACGGAAGGGAAAGAACTTCGGGGAGTGGGGAACTAGACCGGAACCTGATGGCCTCCTAGTCCGCAGGAGTCCCTAGGTGGGCATTCTCTGTACCATAGATGCCATTGTGCTGATGTTAACGGTTGTTGGGAAACTGGGTTATGGGGATTGGCCTCTTAGCCGCTTCCCATGAGTTAGAGATGTTTGGGTGTTTGATGCGTTTCATCCTCTTTCCTCCTTGAAGGAGAATCCGAGCGAGTTTTGGAATGGGATGGTTATGCCCATTAGACTTAAAAATGACCTTCTCTTTCTTTAATGGCCATGTTGGGCGTGATACAAGGGTGGAAAAATTGAAGTATTCAGCCGTCCAGTCAAAGCTTTTGGATTCTCAATGACAAAGTTAAAGGTTTGGGAACTACTCTGGGGGACTTTCACAGTTTCTCGTTTGTCTTTGTCATGGGCTGACTCCCAGTCGTCACAAGAGCCCCCCCTCGCCTCTAAGGTTAAGTTACTTCTCCCCCGCTGCTTGGAGCCTTTTTCTTCGAAAATGCTTTCCCATTTCCATTAAGCTAAGTGCCTTCTCTTGTGGCTTTTTTTTTTTTTTTTTTCTACTTTGCTTTTGGCTTTATCCTGCTGCCTCTTTCAACCCCCCCCCCTCCCAGCACTATTATCTCTCTGATCTGCCCACTCCAGTTTTCCCTGCCCTCTTCAGGCTGGCATCTCCCTCAATTCTTAACATTTTTATAGTTCTCCTTCTGGACTCAGATGTTAGTTCTTTGTTATCCTGCCTTTTTCTTTG